AAATGTCTTTATTATATTTACTTATTTTATTATTTCATATTATTTATCTTATATTTTATCCTTATTTTATTATCTTTATTATTATTTTTATAGTTGAAATTTACTAAAATAGTTAGTTTATAATATAGCAAATAGTTAGCTGTAGCAAATTTATTTTGTATAAATAGAATAGCTTTTTGCTTAAATTGTAAATTAACTCTTCTGCGAGTTTCAAGTTATTAATAAAGGAATCAATTTAAATCTATACAAATTTACTTACTTTTCCATTTAACATTATTTTTTATTTAGGATTGTTGTGATACATTACATTAACTTGCTATTGAGTTCATTATTATGAGTTTAATTAATATATCTTAAATTTTAAAACGTGATAAATTGCTAAGTTGATTCAATTATAATGGATATCTGTAGAATTTAGAAAAAATCCTAAGATCAGAAACTCTAATATGTAGAATCAACTGCTGTAGCCTTTCAACTTAGATATTAAGATAACTGAAAATGAACCCAGTGACAATATATAGTAAAATTCTTTTTTCTTTTATCTCAAGAATATGAAGCGAATAAAAAACTTGAAAGAAAAATCTGATGACTTAAAAATGATATTAAATTTATTTACTCTATAGTGAATAATTTAATAGTGGAATTAGAATGATTATGAAAGCATAACAAGTTCTTTTGCAATCAGTTAATTAAAAATGAAGAACTTTATAATTTCAACGTGAAATTTTAAACTTCTCATATCAATCCTACAGGTGATGAATCTTCTCAATTTCTCTAACTTTTTTATCATATTTGTAATAATTAATAATTATTAATATTAATAGAAAGGGATGTCATACGCTTTGGCTAATCCATATTTATGCTTCCTTTCTTCTTCTTGTATCTTATAGTTTCTTTTAAGTTTCTTTTCTTTCTATCTATATAGCTTTTAAATAGTCTTCTTTTATTATACTTTTCTAAATTTTCTAAATTTCATGTATCTCTTTTTCTATTTTATCAATAAAATCTCACATATTACTGCACTTTTACCTTTTAAATCTATAAAATTGTCTAATAACTAAATACTAAATAACTAAAAATAAAAATAAAATAAACTAAATATAATGTTAATAAAAATAAATATATATAAAAACATAAAAAAATAAATTTGTTATTTCGACTGCGTTAATTAACCACTAACTCTAACTATCTTCTTCTTGAAAAATTGAGCTACTGCAAAATTAGAATAGTTGACAAAGTGATTGATATTTAACCATTTTTAATCTTTCAATTAGAAAAAGTATTGTAAATTTCGATCGATAAATTTGAGAAATATTATTTTCAAAAATAAAATAAGTTCTTTCAGCTGCTCTTTGATAATAAGGTATAACTGTTTTTCTAATAATATCTTTAAGAATTTCATGTGAATCAATTAACATTTCTAAATAGTATACATAGATTAAAGTAGGAATACGCTGATATAATCTTGTAGATCTAACCATCTGCCTATAAGTTAATTTTAATTTTGATTTTATATAATTATCATTATTATATGGAGGTAAAATCACTAAAACATCTTGAGAATCAACTTCTAAAATATCAAGACTTATAAGATCATATGGAATAGTCATTTTTGAATTTTCTTCTTGAATTTTAAATTTAGAAAGGGTGGTTTTTATATAAGAATTTGAGGTTCTAAAATATTCTCATAATACATTGTCACCGTGGAATTCTTCAACTCAGGGTGATCACGTTATCAAGTCTCTACTCGAAATTTCTAACTGCGGT